ATCCACAAGGAATCTTTGAAGCACGGGGTTCTGGGCTTCAAGACCTCGTCTGAGGGCTGGCAACTGTTCACAACAAGCTCTCTTCCGTTTGGTGCTTCGTCTGCTGTATTTTCCTTTAACAAGATCAGTCGGAGCCTCTGGCATATACTGGTGCATAAGTTTGGATTCCTTATGAGCGTGTTCTACGATGACTTCCCAGTCTTCGAAGTTGAACCCCTTGCTGATTTATCTACCAAGACCATTGATGCGTTCCTGAACATTTTGGGATGGCGACATGCGATGCAAGGGAAGAAGGCGGTGGGTTTTTCAGCAGAACCCATTGCCTTAGGAGTCCAGTATCACTTACAAGAACTGTGGTCGGGGCAACTGACAGTTAGCAACAAGCCCGGGCGTGTTGAACGCATCCTGGATTTGATAGAGCAGCTGAAAACTGAAGGGAGGCGAGCCACAAAGGCTGCAGCGTCACTTGCGGGTTTGATGAACTTTGCTGGAGGGTTTGTCTTGGGACATCAGTTCAAGCTTGGCACCAACGCTTTGAATGATTGGGTTTATCGAAGAGGGGTGTCCGAAGTGGAGGCACAACAGGTTTGCAATTATTTGGAGACTGTTGCCAAGTCGGTGACGCCTCGCATGATTGGACTGCAAGATTCGGACTTGCCTATAATAATTTACAGTGATGGTGCGTTTGAAAAAGGGATTGGAACTTGGGGTGCTTTTGTCTATGACCCTCTGGACAACAAGTGCTTGGTTTTTTCTGGAACAGTTCCTGAAGTGCTTTTGAGATACTGGAGTGAAACCATTGGTGAGCAACTTATTTGCGAGATTGAACTGTTTGCTTACATTTGCATCCGTTGGCACCTCAGACATTCTTTGCATCGAAGATTTGGCATTATTTTCATTGACAACGAGTCTTCAAGAATGACAATGATAAAGCGTAGTTCTGCCTCCAATGCCATGTTCCTCTTGGTATCCTTGATCAGCCTCCTCGATGCCATCCTTCCATTCAGTGCGTGGTGTGAGAGAGTGCCTTCAGCATCCAACCCGGCTGACTTACCAAGTAGGAATGATTCTGAAACTTTGTGCCGAATGTTCAATGCAGTGAACCAAGGCGACATACCGTTGCCTGCCTACATACTCAATTTTCTCATGCGAAAGCATTTTGATGTAGACCTAGCAGAACTGGTGAAATTTGAGGCAGTCAAGTGATCACGTGCGGCTGTGACTGAGGGGGAAAGAGCAAGCCACTTTGGTCGAAAGTTGACCTTCGAAATGAAACCATGTCTACTCACTTGACTTTGAGTGGGTGACGTGAAACTCACGATTGCAAACCTTTCAACCTGACTTGACATTTTTCCCCCGACAAGTTGCGGAAAAAGAAAGGAGCTGCTGCAAGATCCACTCTGTCACATATCCGCATTCATTCATTGATGTTTTGTCGTGTGAACTTTATTTTCGTGTTTTGATTTGTTTGGCGAGCAAAGATGTTTTCAGACGGAAAGTTTGGCGTGAACGACTCGGCAATTTGATTTGTGGTTTCCCTTTTCTGAAATGCTTTGTAGGATATGGATAATAATCTTTTTACGCGTAGAGACAGCGTTACGCATATATACAGGGAGCTTTTACTACCAGTGTGAGAGTGTTAGAAACGTGAAGGCTCAGCTTGCTGATCCTGCTGTTTCTTAGTGCTCGGCTTAGAGTTTTAACTCGGTGCGCACACACTGGTTGTTATGACGCTCTCTCTCTCTCTCTCTCTCTCTCTCTCTCCCTCTCTCTCTCTCTCTGTGTTCCTATTTGCAATACGCTTGTCCTCGCGACTCCTGCGTGGCTCCGCTGTTTGTTTGCTGTGCGTGTGGCACTTTGATCCAGAGACCTCTGTTGACATCATCTGACACGGGTTCTTTATGTTTGGCTTGTTGAGGTTGACTTTGAACTTCAACTGTAACCGTTTAAACATGAACCACGTCATGACACCTGTGAAAACTGAATTTTATTTCACAGTGATTTTTTGTCTTGTTTGGATTATTTGCATGTTGACATTAACATGCTCAGGAATATGTTTATATAACAGAATCCTGTCAATCCGAAACATCAAACTGTTTAACCATCTCACACAAAGGATCGATAAGAATGAATATTCGTTTGGCTATTTCCTCTCCAAGAAGGGTAGGGTAGGGAGGGAGCTCTTTGAATTTGAAGAGCTGTGACTTTTCTTTTTAGCAGAAGCCATTTTCGTTCTCTCCCACCCAAATTCTTTTATCCCACCCTGGGGGGAAAGAGCAAGCCACTTTGGTCGAAAGTTGACCTTCGAAATGAAACCATGTCTACTCACTTGACTTTGAGTGGGGGACGTGAAACTCACGGTTGCAAACCTTTCAACCTGACTTGACATTTTTCCCCCGACAAGTTGCGGAAAAAGAAAGGAGCTGCTGCAAGATCCACTCTGTCACATGTCCACATTCATTCATTGATGTTTTGTCGTGTGAACTTTATTTTCGTGTTTCGATTTGTTTGGTGACCAAAGATGTTTTCAGACGGAAAGTTTGGCGTGAACGACTCGGCAATTTGATTTGTGGTTTCCCTTTTCTGAAATGCTTTGTAGGATATGGATAATAATCTTTATACGCGTAGAGAGAGCGTTACGCATATATACAGGGAGCTTTTACTACCAGTGTGAGAGTGTTAGAAACGAGATGGTTCACCCACACACACGCACACACGCAATTCCACACACAATTCTTTCACACACAACATTGTCACACACACACATGCGCACACACTTCTTCCACACACAGCATTTTCAAACAAACGCGCGCGGCATTGTCACACGCAACTCTTCCACACAGCACCCTTTCACACACACGCAACATTTCACGCAATTTTTCCATTGTCACCCCACAACTTTGTCACGCACCACTCTTTCACACATAACATTGTCAGCCACAACTTTATCACACAAACCTTTCACACACACACACACACCTCTTTCACACACGCGCGCAACACGTTCACACAACTTGTTTTACACACAACACACACGCACAACTCTTTCACACGCAATTCTGTCACCCACAACTCTGCCACACACAACACTTCTCACACACGCACGCAGCAATGTCACACACACACACAACTCTTCCAGAGAAAACTTTTCGCGCGCAACATTGTCACAAACACACAACATTGTCAAACACCACTGTCACACACGCACCTTTGCCGCACAGAACTCTTGCACACACACACACCCCCATTGTTTCTCAGGTCAAATCTTGCACACCCAACTCTTTCACATACAACTCTTTCACACACAACTACAGCTCTTTCAAACAATCTGTCTTCCACCTTGTCCTTTGTTTTTCCTGCCTTCCCCATCTCATGTTCACATCGGATTGGTGCTTATTGCAAAAAGTTGCCATGTGGGATTATCCGGACCTTTCTTCTTGGCATGGTGGCATAAGAAGTGCAGGTTGTGCGTCTGAAGTCTGTATCCATGATAAATGCTTTTTAATATCTATATATCTATGTATCTACATCATATATCTATATATCTATATATCTATATATATATATCTATATATCTCTATATCTCTATATCTAAATATCTTTAAATCTGTTTATCTATATATCTATATATTTATATATCTATATATTTATTTATTTATATATTTATATATTTATACTTCCATATCTCTATATATCTATATCTCTATATACCTATATATTTATATCTCTATATCTCTATATCGCTATATCTCTATATCTATATATTGATATATCTATATATATATATATCTATAAATCTATAAAACTATGAATCTATATATCTATATATCTTTATATCTATATACCTATCTATCTATCTGTCTATCTATCTATCTATCTATCTATCTGTTTATCTACCTATCTATCTATCTGTCTATCCATCTGTCCATCTATCCATCTATCCGTCTATCCATCTATCCATCTATCCATCTATCCATCTATCCATCTATCCATCTATCCATCTATCCATCTATCCATGTATGCGGTCAACTTGTTGATAGCTCCTTATTTCTAGTGTTGGTGAGAAAACGTGTTTTCGTGCTGCTGGTTGTCCTCCTTGTTGTGCTGTCTCCTCTTTGCTGCAAGGGATCACTCGAAGATGGATCTGTGTATTTTACAACTGACTTGGCTTGAGTTTATTTGCAATGGCAGTTTGTGAATCGTTTGCAATCAACTTCAAACACTTGGTTTTTGGCGGCACTTCAAACTCTTGAATTTCCAGAAGTTCATTCAGTGATGACATTGCACACTTACAAGTCTACAGCCGTACCCAGATGAAGAATACAATGTGCGACATCTTGGCTTATCAGGGTAAGGTGGCGGGTAGCCTCATACTTTTTTGGTTGAGGTTGCATGTCAACTTGTTTGGTTGCATGTTTGTTTTTGGTGTGTTTTAGTAACAGTGTTGGTTTTCTTAACAGATCAACTTATTTTGATTTTGATTTTGACTATCGGGCCGCGCGGTGCATGGGCGCGAGAGAAAGGGGCCGTGTAGCGGCTTCCAGCCCGGTGGTGTTGTGCCCGGTGCCTGTTGCCCCAGTTCGGGTCACTCTTCGAGATTGCACTTTCTTTTGCACTGGCTTCATTTCAGCACTGGCATTTATTTGGTGGCTCATTTTCGGTGTGGTACATGTGGATTAGCTTGGAACGCTTTGCTGACTGTAATCCTCAAGAGGCATTTTTGATTCACTTCCCAGGCTGGTTTGCAATTCAGTCGGAAATTTTGTCCTTGCTGTCGCCTAGGGAGTCACAGAGATATTTGCAGTCTTGTGTGTACCTGATTTTGGAAACCAAAGACCTCTTGTTGACGGCCACTGCCATTCGCATTCATTATCAGGGGTCAGGATTTTCTGTGCCGACACCTCCAGTTCAGCCTGCACTACTTCTTGCCGGTCAAGGTGGGGGTGTTTGGGACCAGGACCTTACCACTAGCAGCAGCATCACTGAGAGTTCCAACAGTCATGCCGTGGAGAGCCAAGACATTGACTAAGTATGTTGTTGGTGGTTCAGATGATGCCAGCGTTGAATCTGACAATGTTTTGCAGCGTGTTGGAGATGGCTTGGACGTTGAGGGCCCTGGCAATTCAATTGGCGGTGAAGCCTCAGATGAGGGTCTGTTAGGTCCTGTTGACGCAATGTGGCAAAGCAACAGTGATTTGGAGGACTCAAACTTTTTGCAATTCCAAGGAAGTCATTCTGACAGAACTCAGGGTGCATTGGACTTAGGGGCGAGTCAAGTTCCTCGAGGACCGACGCTGCCCCAGGCAAAGTTTGAGCAGCACTTGTCCCATGCATTCTTGAGCACAAGAGGTTCATTGAAGGTTTTTATGCCTTGGGAAAAAGGAGTCTTCAAAAGCATTTTCAAGAAGCCTGGGTCAAATCGGAATGATTTGTTTGTCCAGCCAAAACAATGGGTCGATCACTGCGCTGAATCTGCTGTGGAATCGCTGGAAGATTTGGCAAAGGCCAACGACAGTAGGCCGCAATTGGTGGGGGCCTTTTTCGAGCATGCTCTCACTTCAGGGTCGGATCAGTCGTTTTTTCAGCAAAGGCAGAACCTGTTGGAGTCAGCTGTTGAGAAGTGGTTTTGCATCATAAGAGTCAACATGCTTGCTTCTTCAGTTGGCCATGACATAATTGGCTTGGGAAACATGGAAGAACAGAAACAGGGCGCCTTCAGAATCATAGAAGCAGTCATTGGCATTCGTTCAAGAACCGCTGCCATAACTCGAGCAAACGCCCTCTTGAAGTTCATCAGATGGAGGGCTGAAACATCGGAGAACGATGGCAAGGACTTCATTGAGCAGGAGGCCTGGCAGTATTTGTCTGAGCTGCGTGAAAAGAGTGCTGCTCCAACGAGGGGCACAAGCTTTTTGTCAGCATGCGCATATGCTTTGCACGTGTTTGGTTTTTCTGGCTTGGCGCCCATTTGTGAGAGCAGGCAACTCAAGGGCATTGCAGATCTCATGCATGCAGAGAAAGCCCCATTGAAACAGGCTCTCGTGCTGACAGTCAGTCAGGTGAGGTGGCTGCATGACAAGTTGCAGGATGAGTCGTGCAACACCGTTGACAGAGCAGTGGTGGCATATCTTTTAGTTGCACTGTATGGACGGTGCCGTCACAGTGACTTGCAAAATGTTGAAGAGGTTGCACTGGACTTCGGTGACGAAGGTGGCTACATGGAGGTGAGTACACGAACTCACAAAACAGCCAGGACAGCTGCCCAGAAATCCAGGTTGCTGCCGATTGTGCTTCCAGCTATGGGCATAACAGGGAGCGAGTGGATCTCAGATGCAAAGGCTGCATTTGAAGAATATGGACTCATGTTTGAGGGTCGGATTGGAGGGCCCTTTTTTCGGCCACCAGGAACGTCAGGCAATGCACATTGTCGCCGTGGATTGACCTCACAGGAGGTTACAAGATTCTTGCGGCCCATGCTGGAGGATGAACATTCAGGCCATGGGGACTTGAGAGTGTCGTCCCATTCACTGAAAGCGACGCTGTTATCCTGGGCATCGAAGTCGGGGATGAGTGCCGCTGACAGGGCAATTTTGGGAAGGCACTCCAGTGCATACTTGGAGTCCAGCGCCGTGTATGCAAGGGACCTTGCATTTGGAGCTGTTCATCGGCCGCAGGAAGTTTTGAGAAAAATTCATTGTGGTGAATTCTTACCCGATGCACCCAGATCGGGGTACTTGCCAACAGCCCCACAGTCTCTGGAGGTGACGGCGCCAGTGGCAAATGAGGTCTTCAAGGTTGAAGACGTTCAGTCGGATGTGGAGGCTATTGATGAGAAGGATGGCCAGGTTTTGGCTGAGGAAGATGACGAGTACGAGGCGTCATCTGATGGATCGGAGTCATTGGAGGCTTCGGATTCAGAGGAGGAAGTGCCAAAGCCTCCAGTGAAGTGTTTCAGACACCATGCAGTTGGACCACTGGCAGGCCTTTTTGTTGTGCACAATGTCTCAAAGTTGGTCCATTACTCGGATCCGACGTTGGTTGATGGAAAAGGTGCCCGCATCATTTCCTGTGGCAGGTCGTTGAACCAGAATTATAAGTACACAGCACAGTTTGACTCTGTGGACATGTGCAAGCGTTGCAGAAGCAATGCGGTGAAAGACAATGTACTTCCAAAGGCATTGTGCTAAAAAGTGAATCTCACTTGGTGAGTGGCGCGAAGGGTTGGGGTTGCGTGGCACCCTGATGTTTGATTAAGTTGGATGTGTTTGTGTTTAGGTTGAATTGTTTTTGTGAGATTTTCAAACCAATCAACAGGATTTTGTCACAACGTTGTTTGTTGAAAAAATTGAGTGAGCACATTTGGAGAGAATGCCGCAATTGTGAACTTGAAGGGGGCGGCATGGCAGCATGGGTTGCGTGGCACCTGTGGCATTGTCAGTGCATGCTTGTGGAGCGTGGCTCATGAGCATAGATTTTTGGAGCAGTTTTGAGAGTCATGAATCATTTGAATTTGGACGGAATTTGTTTGCATTTTGTTGAGTGTATCAAGATATCCAGCGGGAGTGTTTTCAGAAAAAACATCTTCTTTTGGGTTTGTGTAGCAGGTCGGAACTTGTAGCAATGGCAAGCTTACTGGATTCAGAAGCGCAATTTGCTCAGCGCACCATTGATTTGAAGCTATCAGAGGAGCTGAAACGCAGTTTGAAGAGATCGGGCTTGCAGACCTTTGGGACATATGCATATGCCCATGGACAACCGGGGCAAAACATTTCAGACGAAGGCTTTGAAGCATGGGTTACAAATCAGCTATTGACAGGAGCTACAATAGCAGACATTGCTGGTGCCAAAAGGCTGCTCTTCGAGAGCCAAACAATGGTTCTTGCTTCGCTACAGGAGCAAGTCAATGCAACGGATGCTTCGACCATCAAGAAGGTGCCCATTGTTGAGCGGGAGACTAAAATGAAGGCCATCAAAAAGAGGTTGACAGGTCTTCTCATAGAAGGCCCACTGGAACCGGGACATTCGCTCCTGGATACAACAGCCAGTATGATGCAGCTCAACGAAGTCAAATACATTCCCCCTGAACGCTGCATTTCAAGGACTCATGAAGTGCTAAATCAGAAGTCCCCCACAAAGCAGTTGGACATTTCAGCGGAGCACCTTGTTGTGAAGGAAAAGCAGGACACTCCCGACATGACTGTCACTTCAGCGCTCCAAGTACAAGAAGCTTTCCAGCGTCGTGGCATAGCACTGGTGTTTGCAGATCTGGTTACCCATGAGAGTTACACCAGATACCTAACCACTCTCTTTGGGCACTTGCATAGAGACCCACCAGCGGGCTATGCAAGGACTTCTGTGAGTCAGTTGGTGGCTGCTGACAAAACGGTGTGGCAGATGATCCTGGAGGAGGGGGTGCAGCCAAAAAGAGATGAAGCTGGAGAGTTGGCTTTGGATTCAAAGCTTATGGAGAGTCTCCACAGCTACCGTGTCTCCTTCTCCTTGTTACCGTTGGTTGCCAAGAAGGACAATGCTCCGAGCGTTCCAAAGCCCACCAAGCCAACCGCAAGTCATGGGGGAAAGGGCTCCAATCAACCAGTCCAAAAACCGTGGTTGAAAGCCAAGGGTGGAAAGAAAGGAGGCAAAGGGAAGGTTAGAGTGCCGCAGCACATCTTTAAGTTGGGTGGCACCTCCTCCAATCCTGCAGGTGACCCAATATGTTTTGGATACAACAGCAGCTCAGGGTGTGCGGAAGCGGCTGATGGTGCAAAGTGCAGAAGGGGTTTGCATGTATGCGCAAAATGCTATGGTTTGCATGGGATTCAAAAACATGAGTCAGAGCTGTGACTCCACTCTGGAGCTTGTGCAAGTCAAGATCATCCCGATGCGGCGACACCCAATGATGGTGATGAGTCAAACAATTTTTCAGGCAATTTTCAGTCAGGTAGCGTTGCACTTGATAATCCATGCATCCAGCATGTTGGGAGCAGCGAGCTTAATCAGACAGTGCATGTGAAAGCATCAGAGTGTCTCAAACCAGCGAAGCCTGTACAAGAGACAAGTTTTGACAGCAATTTTGAACCCATTTGTGTTTCATTTACTGACAGAGCGGAAGTTGATGAAGCCCCTGTCGAACAGGTCCAGCCAAGCCCTCAGAATCCAGAAGCAATTGATGATCTAGTAGTTCATAACCAGGGTTCAAACGGGCCACAAATGCAATCAATCTCAAATGATGGCTTTGCATTTAGCATTGAACAGTTGACATGTCCTGTGGTGCTGGAAATTTTTTGTGGCAGTGCGCGTTTGACGGCTAGCCTCAAAGCGGTTGGCATCAGGGATTCATTCGGAGTGGATCACAAATTGGACAAGGCGATATCAGCAGCAAAACGCCTGGATCTTACACTGGAATCTGACCAGCAAATACTCATACAGTGGCTGAATTCTCCTTTGGTGGTAGGGGTCTTTTTGGCGCCCCCTTGCGGAACATGTTCGCTTGCCAGAAACATCAGGTTACGTGATTCTCATGGAAGGACTTTGCAAGGACCAAAACCTTTGAGATCAGACAAATGGCCAGAGGGATTGCCAGGCCTGGGCCATAGCGACAGAATCAGGGTTTCTGCAGCAAACAAACTGTACAACTTTTTGGCAGTAGTGGTGGATTTGGCACATAAGCAGGGCCTCATTGTAGTGGTAGAGAACCCTCGGTCCTCCCTCTTTTGGCTCACTGCCTTTTGGAAGAAGATACAGGCGCCAATGAAATATTCAGCTCACCAGGCTTGCGCATATGGTGGATCTAGGCCGAAGTGGACAGTGTTATCATGGAACCACCCGGCCTTTGCTTCAATTTGCAGATGCTGCCCAGGGATATCAGAGCATCATCAACACAAACCGTGGGGATTGGTGCATTCAGCGTCTGGTACGCACTTTTCTACAAGTGAAGAAACAGCATACCCATTGGGTTTAACGCATGCCATAGCACGGGTGTTCGCTTCAATCTTGATTTCACATGGTTGGACACCTCCACAAGACCAGATGAATGAGGTTCCTGAGGTATCTCTGAAGTCCATGCGTGCGGTTGCAACTGCTCAGCCAAAAGCAGCTAAGTTTCCTCCAGTCGTTAGAGAACATAAACGAGTTGTGCGGGTTACAGGACCCTTTGTTGCGTTGGCCAAGGCACCAGTTGAACCCATGCAGCGCCTGAAGCATTCCTGGACAGTGCCAGATTTTTGCCAGACGGATCTACAAGTGTTGCCCATTGGCGCGCAGCTGTTGCGGGTTACACCCCTTCGGTCAAATGGGGGTATCATGGAGGTTGGGAAGTCTGGCATTGGAGTTTTTGAACAAGCATGGGGAATTCCATTCGAGCCAGAGGAGTTCATTTGTGAAGCAATTCAGAGGGGTCACCCAAGGCTTTTTTCCAGGTTGGTACCAAAGGTCTTGCATGAAGCCATTAGCAACAATTTTGGTAAGGACAGCCTGCACAACCTTCCAAGGGACAGAAGCCGTTGGTTTGCCAAATGGACTGAGCGAGCAAAGCACTTGAGTCAGAGCGACATCGATCTCAAAAATTCCTTACCGGCGCATGCAGCCAAAATTTTAGAGCCAAAGAGGATCACCCTGTTCAAGGAGATCTTATTGGATTTGGAATATCCTGATGTGGGAGCATTCGATGAATTGGTAAACGGTACAGAGCTGGTTGGTAATGTGCCACCCTATGGAATTTTTGAGAAGGCGTTCAAACCGGCAGAGAAGACCATCGAGCAGGTCTGCAAAGCAAATCGGTCTGAGAGGATGCTGAACTTTTACAAGTGTTCATCTTCAGGTGACAAGGAAATTGATGAAATGGTGTATAGCAAAACTTTGGAAGAGGTGGAGTGTGGCTGGGCGACAGGGCCGATCAATGCGGAACAGCTCCCGGATGGGGCGGTTGTCAGTCGGAGATTTGGGCTGCGACAACCGGGGAAAATTCGTTTGATAGATGACATGAGTGCGAGCGGAGTGAATCAAACGGTGCAAACCTCAGAATCGCCGAAGCCACATTCAGCGGATTTTATTGCAGCCATGCTTTTGGAAGTTCTGAAATGCAGTGGAGGAGTTTCTTTGATGGGCAGATCATTCGATTTAAAATCAGCATACAAACAACTTGCTATAGCGCAGCAATCACTGTCATTTGCTTTCGTTGCAGTGTACAACCCCAAGAAGAAAAGGGCAGAGTTGTTTCAATTGCTTGCTGCACCGTTTGGTGCAACCAGAAGCGTATTTTCATTTCTGAGGCTGTCGAATGCGATATGGTATATAGGTGTAAAAGCCCTTAATATCATTTGGAGCTGCTTCTTCGACGACTATGTAGTCTTTGCCAGGGATGAGCACACCAACAATACCAATCAGACAGTGTCCTTGCTTTTCAAATTGTTGGGATGGAGATTTGCGGAAGAAGGTGAAAAGGCAGAATGTTTCTCAAGGGAGTTCGGAGCTCTGGGTATTAGAATCATTTTGGATGACGCCAGCAGGGGGCTTGTCAAATTTACTAACACGGAGAAAAGAGCAAGTGAATTGGTTGGCACCATCAATGGTATCTTGCAAAAGGGGTCCATGACTGTTATTGAAGCGCAAAAACTCAGGGGCAGAATGCAGTTTATGGATGGGCAGTTGTTTGGCCGCTTGGGTAAGTTGTGCATGAGGGAAGTTACCAACCATACCTGCAACTTCCAGAGTAGCAAAATCATTGAGAGGACTGCCAATGCTTTGAATCGTTTTGTTATCTTCTTGGAACATGCAGAACCCCGGAGGATCCACTTGAGCACGGACATGGTGTGGCATGTGTATACGGATGCTTGTTACGAACCAACTGCGCAAAGTTGGAAGTGTGGCTTGGGTGGAGTGTTGGTTGGACCCAATGGAAGCAAGGTGGCCTTTTTCTCAATTTCATTGGATGATGATCACATGGGGATTCTTGGGGTAGACACAAAGAAAACCATAATCTTCGAGGCGGAACTGTTGGCAATGGTCCTTGCCTTCTCTGTGTGGCGAGAATACTTGACAGCGATGTCGGTAATTTGTTTTGTGGACAACAATTCTGCGAGAGATGTGGCCATCTCTGGAAATGGTCGTAACTTTACAGCAAACTCGTTGATTGACTTCCTGTTAAAGTTGGAAATGGCAAATTGCACTACGCCTTGGTATACTCGAATCCCCACACCTTCCAACATTGCTGACAATCCATCCAGGGGTGATGTTTGCGAGCTGGTACGTCAGAAAGTTTCTGCAACTGATGTTCGAAAGGGATTGCAAGAAATCATGATTGCTTTGGCGGAGGAAACGGTTAAAAGGGGATCAAATGTCTGAGTTTTACAACAGGTGAATACAATTCATTTTTGGAAGCACCTTCTTTCTGGCAGGCAATTTATCGATTGCTCGAACTGGTGATGACACAATCGAATCGACAGATTGACGACTCGAACTTGCACAGGCCGTTGTCACTGGTGTCAAAAAAGATTGTGCGCTTCGGAATCTCTCTGACCAACATTTGTTTCATGTCAATGCGTTTGAATTTTTTGCGTGATTTCCAGCTTGAGCGATTTTTCGAGTGAAGGGTTTTTACATCCCAATGGTTTGCACTGAGTGCTTTGTTTGTAATTTGGCGTTTGCTTTTTCTAGGATATACCAGCAGCCACCTACACTAGAAATAAGTATGCGGTCAACTTGTTGATAGCTCCTTATTTCTAGTGTTGGTGAGAAAACGTGTTTTCGTGCTGCTGGTTGTCCTCCTTGTTGTGCTGTCTCCTCTTTGCTGCAAGGGATCACTCGAAGATGGATCTGTGTATTTTACAACTGACTTGGCTTGAGTTTATTTGCAATGGCAGTTTGTGAATCGTTTGCAATCAACTTCAAACACTTGGTTTTTGGCGGCACTTCAAACTCTTGAATTTCCAGAAGTTCATTCAGTGATGACATTGCACACTTACAAGTCTACAGCCGTACCCAGATGAAGAATACAATGTGCGACATCTTGGCTTATCAGGGTAGGGTGGCGGGTAGCCTCATACTTTTTTGGTTGAGGTTGCCCCACCCAGCCCTCCCTATGACCTTGCCGTGGGGATCAAATGTCTGAGTTTTACAACAGGTGAATACAATTCATTTTTGGAAGCACCTTCTTTCTGGCAGGCAATTTATCGATTGCTCGAACTGGTGATGACACAATCGAATCGACAGATTGACGACTCGAACTTGCACAGGCCGTTGTCACTGGTGTCAAAAAAGATTGTGCGCTTCGGAATCTCTCTGACCAACATTTGTTTCATGTCAATGCGTTTGAATTTTTTGCGTGATTTCCAGCTTGAGCGATTTTTCGAGTGAAGGGTTTTTACATCCCAATGGTTTGCACTGAGTGCTTTGTTTGTAATTTGGCGTTTGCTTTTTCTAGGATATACCAGCAGCCACCTACACTAGAAATAACTATCCATCTATCTATCTATCTATCTATCTATCTATATATCTATATATGTATATATCTATCTATCTATATATCTATATATCTGTATATCTATATATTTATATATCCATATATCTATATATTTATCTATATATCTATATATTTATCTATATATCTATATATCTATATATTATATGTGTGTATAGTTGAATTTTTTGTGCGAAGTGTCGTCGTTTGGTTCAAGGGTTTGTTCAGAACGAATGAGGTGAACATTTCCTCCTTAACTTCGGTGCGGTTTGATGTAGTTTTCTTAAATTTGACAAACGTTCCCTCTATTGTTGACGTGACAGCTGGTTGATTGCAGATGCAAAAATCATGCATGGAATTGTTATGCATGTAGATGTGCACCTGGGTCAAACCACCAGTCCCCACATTAGGGTTATGAATTTCAAACGATTTTAGCCTCCATGGCCCATCGGGCTTTCAAACGTCGGCTGAACGACAAGGCAGTTTTGGGTGGTGTTTCGTTCTGTCAACGTACGCGTTAGCACTTTGCAATGGTTTGCTTGTAAAATCACCTACATATGCATGTACATATGTACGTACGTGTATACGTTTCTGTTTACTTGTCATTTGGATGTCAATAAAAAATGCATGTATAAATGGAAACGAACAAACACAATTCCACGAGTTAATGCCAATTTTTTTGTTTGCAAACATAACATGTGTTTTTGCATTTGTGAAGGGTTTAAATTAGAATGTATCGCCAGGTTTGGCAGACGTTGAACATTGATGAAGATGTTTCTGCCAAGGCGTGGGTTGAATTATTTTGTTTACAGCTCCATGATGATCTGTTTTGAATTATTTTGCGCGGTCGGCACAGTTCGCATTTGGAGTTCAGGCGGCGAAAACTGACGGCCGAGTCTCTTGACTGTGCCAGGAAGGTTGTTTTCGAAGAGGATTGCTTGCATGTGTAGAACAGACGATGTTTCAACATGACCAAAAATGCACCCAAAAAAATGTGCCAAACATGTCAAACCAACAGCACCATTGGAATTGTTGCACCATGCCATTTTTTCACAATTAATGCAAAAATGCATAGAACAATTTGCACAAAAAATGTCCAACTTACAATTTTTTATCGATTGATGATATTGATGGTTTCTTGGCTTGGCTGGAATCGTTTTTCCCATCGGCGCGTTGTTTTGTTTGAACCGCGCATCTGCAAAGGTCTTTGTTTGTTGTTCTTGGGCAATGTTATTGCTCAGGGTTTTGAACTACTCCTTCTGCTATGGCCGTGTTTGATTGCGTTTTGCTGTTTATTTTTTTTGGGCCCAAACAACCTAGAAACGCAACGCAATTTTACAAAATGCATTTTATTTTGTTGTGATCCCCACTTGGACTTCTGCGCTTCAGACTTCAGCACTGGAGTTCCTTCGCAAGACGATCAGTGAGGTCGAGTATTTTTTGTGTGTCCATGCTGTTCACCATTGCTTTGGTCACACCATCGAATCTAAATGATATGTTTTCGATAGAACTGAATCCTGGTGTTGTTTCATTGGTCCATGTTTGTGCACTCACACCACGTGATGCTCTTTCGCCTCTAAAACTTGAAGCAGGTTTTTGCAGCTTTAGGCAGGCAGACTTTGAACATAACATCAAAAAAAATCATTTTGGAAACGTGGTTGATTCACATCAGGGCAAACAAGATGGTTGGACCTAGTCAATTTGACAGGCAAAACCAATGAAGAGGCAGGTACCGTTGCAGAGACACTTGAGGCTGGAACGCAGGGAATTTGAGGTCTGGCAGAATCGACCTGTAAATATCCTGTTGAGAAACTATCAGCTATGAATGACGTAGTTGAGCTGCGTTCAAAGGACAGGTTTCCCTGTTTCACCAGTTCGTCAGGCTGCTATTTTTGACATCACAACGAATGGAGAAGTTTCGAAGCGAAAGTATCAAGCAGAGGCTTCGGATTGCATTTTTTTTCAATGATGACATGAAAAATGAGGTGGAAGTGTACCAATGCATCTATACATATTACATATCTATACAGAATGGCATGCAGCGTCTTAAATGATTCTCAATGTTTGGGTTCCTGTCTAGATTAGACATGCTTTTTGGTGCTGGAATAAAATAAACAGGTTTACATGTACTGTGCTGACTGTGCTGTATGCAGTTTTGGACTGAAATTGTTCCAGCAAAAGGTGCAAGATTTGCTAATCAGTTGTCCCGCTTCACAAGGTGAGTGTATTGACATGAAGATGATGAACGTGCTATATTCCCGGGATAAACTGACAATCAGAATAAAGTGTTGTCAGGTAGAGATAATGTTGATGTACCTGGGTCAGCACCATTATGTGCATTGTATTGCATTCTCAGTTGTCAGATGTTGTCAGGATGGCACGAATTAGGCGTTCTTCTCGTCCTTCCATTCCACTCATTCCACCTTCCACTTCTGGCAGAGAGAACTGAGAAAGGGTTGGATTGAACATGATTGAACAAAATGCCGGTGTGCCTGCTCAGAGCAAGGGCTGTTCGATAGTGAAAATATGTGAAAATAGCCAACATGATGCTAGAAAATGCTAGAAAGACCTGTGGAAGCTGCTTCATATGATGTAAGATGATGTAAGTGTACTCAGATGGACACAGGTTCAAAGGTTGTGTGCAGCCTTCCGGCAGGAGGCTTGGCACCCAGAGAAAGTTGATGAAAACGAATAGCAACCTCAGACCCAAGTCAAGACTGGTGATTGTGATAGAAATTAACGCGTGCATTGAATGCATTGGTGTATCGTGATCAGACTTTCGACAATGCAAAGTGGTTGCAGGACAGGCACGGGCAGTGTGGGGAACCCTTTTCCGTGACTCGATTTCAGGTTGTATCAGTTGTCATTTTCACAATCCATTTTTCAGTTTCCTTAGTGTTGCTCTAGTGATCAGCTGGAATGGACCGTGCTATGACTCTCATGGCTCAATTTCAGCGAACTCTTGTAAGACATAATCCGCACCAGATTCCAGCCCTCCACGTGGCTACATGTAATTTGGCGCAATATCTTGACTTTCAGGATGTTCTCACAAATGGACGGAGGGCAGCTGTTGAGCCTTGCACACAGTTGGCCAGTTCAGACCTTCTCGTGTTTTCGTTTTTCATTGGACCGACATTGGACCAAAATTGGACCAACGCCGTACCAACATTGTCAACTATGGAGGCCCTTTTGTGGTCTCCCTGTGCAATGCTCTTGCGGGTTTGACTGCGGAACATCGCTTTGCACTCTACGGCACTTGGGACATGTGGGCTCTGCATGTTTGTGTTTGCGGCGCTTGATATCTTGAAATTTGCTCCTTTCTGGGTGGACTGGATTCGGCCGAAGGCGCAGTAGTGGTGCGTGTTTTTTTCGTTAAGATTTTGTTCAAACGTGACAGGAATAAACACGTTAAGGATCGAAGATTGTTGAGCCAAGGGAATGGGCGGATTCTCGTGGACTTTGTGGCAGGTGCAGTACTTTGCCATACTTTGTGGGGCAGGGAAGGTTCGAGGAAATGACAGGAAATGAGGAGAGCTTGACAGGTGAAAATAGGACATCGTGACACAATGTGCTCCCTTGCTACATGTTTCCATGTTTTGAATTGTTTTGAATGTTCCTTCGTTCCTTCCTGTTGGTCTACTATGTTGCAACACATGCTGGAGAGCCACAGCATCATCACCGCCTTTCTCTCGCTTGCCTACACCAAGGTTGGTTGAGCTTCCACCTGAGGAGCTGTTTGGAGTCTGGAGAAAACACTTGGTCGTAACATGTCGTAACACCATAGTCACTGACTTAGTCACTATGTAACACTAACAGTCAGGCATCTCACCCATCCCTTTTGTTGCGCCATGCCATTAGCGTGCCAGCGCAAGGAATGTTCACTGGTGTCCACCAGAAGATGTTGTTGCCAGTCTTTCATAACATACTTCCAGAACATAAATTTAGAGCCTTTGTCGCAGGAGCTTCTTCTACATTCAAAGCGGGCTCGTTTGGCAGAATTGAGGCAAATGCCACCTCAGGACTAGTCTTGTCACAAGCGGATCACATATCAGTAGCCAGGCAGTGAAAAGCAGTGTGGAGGAATTGAACTGAAGTCTACCTACATATATAAAGATCGAAGGCTTTCTAGAAAAGAAACTTTTGATTCCCCCACGGATAAACTGCTCAGCTGCAAATCACAATCTGTTGCCTGTAAGAACCCTGTAGGAACTGTATGAGTCCCTCTCCCATCTCTCTGTTACGATGCACCTGCTACGATGCTGCGGCATTCCCAGAAAGACTGCCATTTAGCACTTTTCGTACTGGCACTATGTCCTTTCTCTCCGCACCGCGCCACACCATATCCAAGACTCAAACAAGTTGCCAGTTGCTACGATTATGCCGAATTTTGCTGGACAGCTGCAGCCAAGTACGCAAGTGAAAGAGCGAATGAGCAGCTAATGCATCTAGCAAGGCTGCATTCAGCTACATGTTTTTGGAAGATGCTGCAGTAATGCTGCATGCCTTCACGCCTCAGATCACAAGTGAGCTGTCACCAGATCCACAGCTGGTCATGAGCCACAGTATAAACTGCCTTGCACAAATTGCAAAATGCACCGTGCTAAGTTTTCATGCAAGAATGAAAGAGAATGAAAGAGAAACAAAGAAAATGCTCCAAAGCATGTTTGTGCTTCTCGCATGCTTCCTGATGTGTGAGGGTTATGTGCGGCTGTGATCAGTCTGGGGATGGGTTGGTCTATGCTCAGTCACAGCAAGAGTCAGCTGTTTGGAATTTGATTCAACTTGGTCGAAAAATCTTGTCAAACCTGGATGATCATCTAAGTACCCTATGATATTGTCGAGTGTGATCCACAGTTGCTCTTTGCATTGGGATGCATGCGCAGAGTTGGGAAGTGGCACTACTAGAGGAAGGAAAAGTGAAGGAACTTCGACAGAAAACAGAGAGATGAAGATGATAGGTGCAGACTGAAGTAGAGACAAGGACAGGATTAGTAAAGAAAGAAAAAACATATAAATAATGAAAAATATATAATGATAAATCATGATAAAGTAGACAACGATAAAGACAGATAAAGAAAGTGGAAGTGAAGAGAGTCCAAACAACAAAGAACAACAACAAAGAGCAACAAGGAAAAACAAGGAACAAGAAAGAACAAAAAGAAAAACAAAGAACATGCAAGAACAGCAAAGAACAACAAAGAACATGCAAGAACAGCGAAGAACAGCAAAGAACATGCAAGAACAACAAAGAACCACAAAGAACATGCAAGAACAGCAAAGAACAGCAAAGAACATGCAAGAACAACAAAGAACCACAAAGAACAGCAAAGAACATGCAAGAACGGCAAAAAACAGCAAAGAACATGCAAGAACAGCAAAGAACAACAAAGAACAGCAAAGAACATGCAAGAACATCAAAGAACAGCAAAGAAGGGCAAAGAACATGCAAGAAAAACAAAGAACCACAAAGTTCAGCAAAGAGCAGCAAAGAACAACAAAGAACATGCAAGAACAGCCAAGAACAGCAAAGAACATGAAAGAACAACTAAGAACAACAAAGAACAGCAAAGAACATGCAAGAACAGCAAAGAACAACACAGAACAACAAAGAACAACAAAGAACATGCAAGAACAACAAAGAACAGCAAAGAACACCAAAGAACAACAGAGAACAACAAAGAACAGCAAAGAACATGCCAGAACAGCAAAGAACACCAAAGAACACCAAAGAACAACAAAGAACAACAAAGAAAAACAAAGAAGACCAAAGAACATGCAAGAACAGCAAAGAACAGCAAAGAACATGCAAGAACAGCAAAGAACAGCAAAGAACATGCAAGAACAACAAAGAACAACAAAGAACAGCAAAGAACAACAAAGAGCAGCAAAGAACATGCAAGAACAGCAAAGAACAACAAAGAACAGCAAAGAACATGCGAGAACAACAAAGAAGAACATAGAACAGCAAAGAAACATGCAAGAACAGCAAAGAACAACAAAGAACAGCAAAGAACATTCAAAAACAACAAAGAACAGCAAAGAACATGCAAGAACATGCAAGAACAGCAAAGAACAACAAAGTACAGCAAAGAACATGCAGGAACAGCAAAGAACAGCAAAGAACAGCAGTGAACATGCAAGAACAGCAAAGAACAACAAAGAACATGCAAGAAGATGCAAAAACAGCAAAGAACAACAAAGAACAGCAAAGAACATGCAGGAACAGCAAAGAACAACAAAGAACAGCAAAGAACATGCAAGAACAGCAAAAAACAGCAAAGAACATGCAAGAACAGCAAAGAACAACAGAGAACAGCAAAGAACAGCAGAGAACATGCAAGAACAGCAAAAAACAGCAAAGAACATGCAAGAACACCAAAGAACCACAAAGAACAGCAAAGAACGTGCAATAGCTACAAAGAACAACAAAGAACAGCAGAGAACATGCAAGAACAACAAAGAACAACAAAGAACAGCAAAGAACATGCAAAAACAGCAAAGAGCAGCAAAGAACATGCAAGAACAACAAAGAACCACAAAGAACAGCAAAGAACATGCAAGAACAGCAAAGAACAGAAAAGAACAACAAAGAACAGCAAAGAACATGCAAGAACAGCAAAAAACAACAAAGAACAACAAAAAACAGCAAAGAACGTGCAATAGCTACAAAGAACAACAAAGAACAGCAAAGAACATGCAAGAACAACAAAGAACAACAGAGAACAGCAAACAACAACAAAGAACAGAAAGAACATGCAAGAACAACAAAGAACCACAAAGAACATGCAAGAACAGCACAGGACAACAAAGGACAGCAAAGAATATGCAAGAACAACAAAGAACGGCAAAGAACAGCAAAGAACATGCAAGAACATGCAAGAACAGCAAAGAACAACAAAGAACAGCAAAAAACAGCAAAGAACATACAAGAACAACAAAAAAGAACAAAGAACAGCAAAGAACATGCAAGCACAGCAATAATCAGCACAGAACAACAAAGAACAACAAAGAACAACAAAGAACAGCAAAGAACATGCAAGAACAGCAATAATCAGCACAGAACAACAAAGAACAACAAAGAACAACTAAGAATCTAAGAACAACAAAGAACAGCAAAGAACATGAAGGAACAGCAAAGAACAACAAAGAACAGCAAAGAACAGCAAAGAACAGCAAAGAACAGCAAAGAACATGTAAGAATCACAAATACCAACAAAGAACAGCAAAGAACATGCTTGAACAACAAAGAACAGCAAACAACATGCAAGAACAGCAAAGAGCAACAAAGAATAGCAAAGAACATGCAAGAACAGCAAAGAACATGCGAGAACAACAAAGAAGATGCAAAAACAACAAAGAACAGCAAAGAACATGCAAGAACAACAAAGAACAACAAAGAACAGCAAAGAAGAACAAAGAACAGCAAAGAACATGCAAGAACAGCAAAGAAGATGCAAAAACAGCAAAGAACAACAAAGAACAGCAAAGAACATGCAAGAACAGAAAAGAACAACAAGAACAACAAAGAACAGCAAAGAACAGCAAAGAACATGCTAGAACAACAAAGAACAACAAAGAACAGCAGTGAACATGCAAGAACAGCACAGAACATGCAAAGAACAACAAAGAACAGCAAAGATCATGGAAGAACAACAAAGAACAACAAAGAACATCCAAGTACAGCAATGAACAACACAGAACAACAAGAACAACAAAGAACATGCAAGAACAACAAAGAACAGCAAAGAACAGCAGAGAACATGCAAAAACAACAAAGAACACCAAAGAACAGCAAAGAACAACAAAAAACAACAGAGAACAACAAAGAACAGCAAAGAACATGCAAGAACAACAAAGAACAACAAAGAACAGCAAAGAACATGCAAGAACAGCAAAGAACAACAAAGAACAACAAAGAACATGCAAGAACAGCAAAAAACAGCAAAGAACAACAAAAAACAGCAAAGAACGTGCAATAGCTACAAAGAACAACAAAGAACAGCAAAGAACATGCAAGAACAACAAAGAACAACAAAGAACAACAAGAACAGCAAAGAACATGCAAGAATCGCAAAGGACAACACGGAACAATAAAGAGCAACACAGAACAGCAAGATACAGCAAAGAACATGCAAGAACAGCAAAGACAAGCAAGAACAACAAAGAATAGCAAAGAACCACAAAGAACAGCAAAGAACATGCCAGAACAACAAAGAACAACAAAGAACAGCTCAGAACATGCAAGAACCGCAAGGCACATGCAAGAACAGCAAAGAACAATAAAGAACAGCAAAGAACATGCAAGAACAGCAAAGAACAACAAAAAACAGCAAGGAACATGCAAGAACAACAAGGAACAACAAAGCACAGCAATGAACAGCAAAGACCCACAAAGAACATGCAAGAACGAACATGCAAGAACAACAAAGAAGAACAAAAACAGCAAAGAACATGCAAGAACAGCAAAGAACAACGAAGGACAACAAAGAACAGCAATGAACATGCAAGAACAGCAAAAAACAACAAAGACTAGCAAAGAACATGCAAGAACAGCAAAGAAATAACAGAACAGCAAAACACATGCAAGACCAGCAAAGAACAAAGAACAGCAAAGAACAAAGAACAACAAAGAACATGCAAGAACAACAAAGAACAACAAAGAACAGCAAAGAACATGCAAGAACAGCAAAGAACAACAAAGAACAGCAAAGAACATGCAAGAACAGCAAAGAACAACAAAGAACAGCAAAGAACATGCAAGAACAGCAAACAACAACAAAGAACAGCAAAGAACATGCAAGAGCAAAGAACCACAAAGAACATGCAAGAACAGCAAAGGACAACAAAGAACAGCAAAGAATATGCAAGAACAACAAAGAACAGCAAAGAACAGCAAAGAACATGCAAGAACAATCAAGAACCACAAAGAACCACACAGAACAGCAAAGAACATGCAAGAACAACAAAGAACCACAAAGAACAGCAAAGAACATGCAAGAACAACAAAGAACAGCAAAAAACAACAAAGAACATGCAAGAACTGTAAAGAACAACAAAGAACAGCAAAGAACCGCAAAGAACAACAAAATACAGCAAAGAACATGCAAGAACAACAAAAAACAATAAAAAACAGCAAAGAACAGGCAAGAACAGCAAAGAACATGCAAGAACAGCAAAGAACAGCAAAGAACATGCAAGAACAGCAAAGAACAGCAAAGAACATGCAAGAACAGCAAAGAACAGCAAAGAACAGCAAAAAAAAACACCAGCAAAGAACATGCAAGAACCACAAAAAACCACAAAGAACATGCAAGAACAGCAAATAACAACAAAGAACATGCAAGAACATGCAAGAACAGCAAAGAACATGCAAGAACAGCAAAGAACAACACAGAACATCAAAGAACAACAAAGAACAGCAAAGAACATGCAAGAACAACAAAGAACAGCAAAGAACATGCAAGAACAGCAAAGAACAACAAAGAACAAAAAAAGAAGAACAAAAAACAACAACGAACAGCAAAGAACATGAAAGAACGACTAAGAACAACAAAGAACAGCAAAGAACATGCAAAAACTACAAAGAACAAAGAACAGCTAAGAACATGCAAGAACAGCAAAGAACATGCAAGAACAGCAAAGAACATGCAAGAACAGCAAAGAACATGCAAGAACAGCAAAGAACAAAAAAAACAGCAAAGAACATGCAAGAACAACAAAAAACACAAAGAACATGCAGAGACAGCAAAGAACAACAAAGAACATGCAAGAACAGCAAAGAACAGCAAAGAACATTCAAGAACAACAAAGAACAGCAGAGAACATGCAAGAACAACAAAGAACAGCAAGGAACATGCAAGAACAGCAAAGAACAACACAGAACAACAAAGAACAACAAAGAACATGCAAGAACAACACAGATCAACAAAGAACAACAAAGAACATGCAAGAACAGCAAAGAACAACACAGAACAACAAAGAACAACAAAGAACATGCAAGAACAACAAAGAACAACAAAGAACAGCAAAGATCATGCAAGAACAGCAAAGAACAACACAGAACATCAAAGAACAACAAAGAACATGCAAGAACAACAAAGAACAACAAAGAACAGCAAAGAAGATGCAAGAACCGCAAAGAACAACAAAATACAGCAAAGAACATGCAAGAACATCAAAGATCAACAAAGAACAGCAAAGAACATGCAAAAACAGCAAAGAGCAGCAAAGAACATGCAAGAACAACAAAGAACAACAAAGAACAGCAAAGAACATGCAAGAACAGCAAAGAACAACACAGAACAACAAAGTAAAGAACAACAGAGATGTACAGAAGAGTAGCTGGAACCTGGCATACCTCCCGGCAAGACATGCTGAAATGGGTTTGTCGGGGTCGATCGACCGGTCGATGTGCATGTTTATATTGAAGGGCTCAGTTCCGGCAAAACTTGGAAAACCGCACGGGTCCAGTCTTCATGTTTCACTGAAGGCAGTGATATGTACGGGTATTTCAGGGTTGACAAGAAAAACATGAAAAACTTATGGCACTTGATTTCTCCATGATATAGGGAAAAGGGGCAACTCCAAAAAGGTTCAGAACACGTCATAGAAGAAGTCTACAAGGCTGAGGTCAACGATGAAATCGAGCCATGTATCAGTGTATGTACATGACAAGTGCTCACCACAAATCAGCAAAAATCAGCCGGAGTGTGCGGCTTGGCCTACTTGCCACTGCAGATTGCAGCAACCAGTTAGACCTGATCGCTTGAAACAGATTGAGTGACCGACAATCGGCATTAATCGGCAGGTATGTACAAGCTGGCCAGGGTTGCATCTCACTAGAAGTGAAAGTCTTACTTGACCCCCATGATCTGGGGCTGTCCCTTGCGTGATTTAAACACTTCCTGCTTCATAGACTGCTCCCAATGGAATTCATGGACAATGCCCTGCGCAACAGAGT